GCTTGAACCACTGACCTTGTAGTTCAAATGACTTTACAGGCTGACACCTTAGCCCACAGTGCCACACCAGTAAATGTTAGTTCTAATGGATTAAATGGTGCAATAATAGGAAGTACATTTCTCACCTTGGGTCTTTGGGGAAACTGCCTTAATCTACCTTTTCTAGGACTTTGATAAAATGAGGTTATTAAGGGTCTGGTCATCAATAACATATGCCAACTGAAGTCCTCAAGGAGGCCAGAACTCTAGCATGTAGTATCAACATGCCATCTAGGTATACCACCATTAGTCACCCAAGTCTTGCACTTCTGCTATCACTTTCTTTGGTCTAATTTAAGATGGCAGAGGTTGAAGGACTCTAAGGTTTCTAACTGCCCATGTGGGTGGCAGAAGAATGGCAATTTTGTTCTTCTCTAGGAGTAAGGTGTGACAACCATTATCTTTATACTGAAAGAGAGTGCTTCTTTTAAAGTGGGCTGCCACTTCATGTCATTTGTAGGCAGTTATAGCCCCCAAGGAGATTCTATGTTCCAATTTCTGAGACATTAAATATGTACCTTTCATGGCAAAAGGGGCATTAAAGATATCATTAAGATTAGTACTGACTTTAAAATAGGGAGAGTGTCTTGGATTATCCAGGTGAGCGCAATGAGATCACATAAGCAAGCCCTTAACAGAAGATGCAGGAATCAGAGCAATGCAGTAAAAGGGAAAGCAGAAGGAGTTGATGTGAAGTTGCTGGTTTGAAGACAGAGGGAGTCACATGTCAAATACATTTACTATCTCAACCCCAGATGAGAGCTGTTAGACCCTAAGCAGTTCTGCTTCTGATCTACAGAAACTCTGAGATGTATATTTTTTAAGATGCTAACTTTGTGGTAATGTGTTACATTAACTAGAAAACTAATATAATGCCTCTGGGGCTCAATTTTACATATATCAAATGGGGGCTATTATGTGCATAAAGTGATGTAAGGACATAAGAATATGCTACAAAGTTACAAGAATTCAGATATTCTCTAAGGGGGGGGGGGGATCAATCTGTTTTGAAGTAATTGCTTCCTTAGTACTTAGAGTTCTCAACATATCTGTAAGTGCTGAGAATTTGTAGAGCTGCTTCTCCTCCCCAAAAAAAGCAGTACAGTCAAAGAGAAATCAGAAAACCTACATTCCAGTCTACTTCTTTCCTACCTATGTGACCGTGGGCAAGTAATGTCACTTCTCTGAGCCTCAATAAGGATGATCATTCCTGCTTTCTAGTTGGTAGACTGTGAGGCTTAAATGAGGAAATGAGTGTTAAATATATGATATGATGAAAACCAGGGCTTTGCACCATCATTCTAGTTTAACCCTCTGCTGAGAAGTTGCATTTCTACCCCAAATATGCTGATTCAGAGTCTACATTTCAACAACAACCCCCTAAGAATCACCTGGGGATCTTGATAAAATGTAGACTGTGATTCAGCATATCTTGGAAATGCAAATTCTCAGCAGGGAATCAAACCAGAATGAACTGGTTCAAAGCCCGGATGGGAAGTAAGTTCCCAGATGGGAGGGTTTATCAGTCCTAGCCATGCACATTGTTGTTGTTGTTGTTAAGTGCCATCGAGTCGGGTGAGACCCATAGCGACCCTGTACAGGGTTTCCGAGGGTGTAAATCTTTACGGGAGTAGAAAGCCTCATCTTTCTCCCGCGGAGCAGCTGGTAGTTTCGAACCGCTGACCTTAAGGTTCGCAGCCCAATTCATAACCACTACGCTACCAGAGCTCCTTTTTAGGGGGCTTCAAAAAGTTCCTGGAAAAATGGAATTTTCCCACAAATTTTTGAAACTCTTGTATGCCATGCTGCTGAAAGCAAATATTTTGATCACCCAAAGAAAGTAGGGTTGAAAATACCATGGGTTGGAACTGAATTCATTTTCATAGCTCAATTTTCAACCAAGTAATAGATGGGTATGTAGGGGAGACAACACCACTAGTGAGGTATGCACACAATAGAATGAATGTTCAGCCATTAGATATCATAAGGGTAGCATTTACATAAGTACAAAATTCAGAAGGATTAGCAAAAAAGGAATGGAAACACATAACACAGGGAGTAAGTCTGATAAATGAGGTGACATCGAGGGGCTTGCAATCACTTAGCTGAAACAAAGTATGTGGTTTGTTGATCTGCTCTGTAAATAATATTCAATTCACAATAAAAAGTGAAAAAAAACAACAGTCACCACATTATTGATCTACATTCTTTCACAGGATCTACATTCTCTCTAGCACAGAAATACCCACTGGCCAAAGTATGCTGATAATGGCCTATAGTTGCTGCTCTTTGGTTATCACCCTTTCTTCTCAAAAGCCTCTTCTGAAGCACTATCCATCAAGACAGCCAAACTAGCCCCACTCCATGAAGGTATGCCTTACCACAGAAGCCCTTGATCTTTAAATGAGTGCCATGCAACGTTGGTGGTTCAAACCCACTAGCAACTCCTCAGAAACCCTATTCAGGGTCGCTATGAGTCAGAACCAACTTGATGACACCTAATAACAACAATGAAGGGGAGGCATTAGAGCTTATCCTTTGGATATAGTCCAGGGTAAGGGCAAAGCTAACCTCTATTCAGACTGGTAGTCTCAACTCTTTAGTCCAGGCTCTTGATATGTTTCTTGGGCAACACACAGTAATCTTATGGCCATGTATCCCAGATACCGCTTCCACTGTGATTGCAGTTGCTTTCTGATTCTCAAAATCTTCCAGTGTTTGTGGTGGTAGTTGTGGTTTACTCCCAACAAAACCAGAGTCTTTACCCATTACCAAGAGTACCAAGGTCATACTGTTTGTGTGGCCAAAACCTATATTCCTGCCTACTTCAGGCAGTCACTTAATAGGGAGGACCAGGGAGGCCACAGCTCTGAGACCATAGCTCAGTGACCACATCCTAGGTGAGGTCAGCAGGTCTCACAGAGACTCCATGTTGTGGTGAGCAGAAAGAGAGATCACCTATTCTCTTGAACTGACTCTTTAGCTCCTGATTTCTCAGCAATTTAGTCTTTTGAGAGTTCAAAGTTGGGGAAGGTAGACTGGATAGAGCAAATAGAGTTCAATGTGGTCACCTGGGCATGTCTTGATTTGGATTGGCATCAACTTCTCAGTTTCACAAAGGCTCTATGTATATTTGGCTTACATATTCCTAAATCCCCAATAAACTATGCTTGGGGTACAATTTTGAAAGTGACTACTGCCTTTCAATAGCACTGTTTTAAAAGCATCTGAGTTTGTTTGGGCATGTGTGCTCTCTGTCTCTCTCACCCTCCACACATACACACACACGAGGGGGTTTCAAAATGTTAGTATAAAAAGAAAGATAATGTAATTTTTCCATGAACATTCTGAAGCCCGTTCACATGCTTATTCCTTAGTACACTAGCAGGGCCTTGATAGAAAAGTAAAAGAGAACCCTTTCTCTCCCACTGTGCTGCATCATAATTACAAGCTATATAGTATAGGACACAAACAATAATACACTTTCCAGCAGTTTTCTTTCATTAAATGGTAATCAGAAACATCTATTCGTAGCATTTATGATCAACTACACAATATTCTTTTAGTTCCTTTCCAATGATTGATATGATAAATGAGGGGGGCCAGAGCTTATGTCTAGAGGTCTTCCACTAGGTGATTTATGAGTACTGGGAAAGAGGACAAAATCCAAAACCCAAAAGTGATTACCACTAAAGCCATCAACCATAAAGACTCTTGCTAGACAAGTGTGGTGTAATGAGAAGAGCCTTGCATAGGAGTCCAAGTTATTGACGTGGTCAATAACTTGCTGTTTTTCAGTTTCAACAAATGTAAATGTGGAAGTTAGACTAAATAATTGTGAAAGGTCCTTCCAATCTAATACTAAGTTGATTGCAAAAAGAATCTTCCATCTTGAGGGCTGTGGTTCTTAACCTTTATTGGGTCACAAGCCTATTTGGAATTCAGTAGGATGCATGCACACATGGCCCATCTCCCCAGATAAGTACATGGTAGTGGAATTTTATAGCAATTTCATGGGACTTCATGGAGTTGCTGAATTCATGGGCACTGAGTTAAGGACTACAGAAGGCAAACAAGGCAACAGTGGCAGCTGCCTGGCATACATCTTACCAATTTTTCCCAGCATTTGACCCAAAACTCCTTAAAGACAAATACTGTCTGACTTTAAAAAAATTAATGTTTTCAGCTTTTGTATCTTTTTTGATTGCTTGGAAAGAAAGATGTCAGGAGAAAAAAGGAGGGAGTTAATTCAAACAGACCTAGGCTTTCATAAGTCAAATATGCTTTGCAGATTTGTCCTAAGTGGCTAAATGCAAGAGTAGGAAGGCCACCTTCCTATGTCCATATGAAGGAGTTGTAGAGGCTTCACACAGGAGCAAACAGGCTCTTGAAAACACATTAAGTGCATGAGCTTCAACCTTGAACCAGAATCCATATCCTCAGTAAGAGATGTATTAAGATGCTCCTGCTCCTCTACCTACAATACAAGCAATGGCCTAAAGTCAAGTGGACTTTAATTAATAATAAGAACCCTAAAAGCAATCTGTGGAGTCCTTGTGTGGTGCTGTAGGTTAAGCACTGGACTGCTAACTGCAAGGTTGGTGATTCAAACCCACCAGTTGCTCCTTGGAAACCCTATATGGTGCTGCTAGGAGTTGGAACTGACTTGATGGCACTTTACAAGAGTAGTCTTTAGTCCCAAATCTTTCAGATTTTCAGTGGCCTTTGAGGAGGCAGGAAACTTCAAGAAAAGTTGAAATCTGGGTTCTCCTCTTCAATTCAGTTCAGTGAATATCTTGGTTTCTGCAGAGTTTTGTTTGAGGGAACCCAGTCATTCACAGTCTTATAGAAGAATAATCAAGCTCTTTCCTCATAGGATTGAAGATAGACCCTCTGAAGGGATGAAGCCTGACTTATACAGGAGAAATAAAACTGTGTCCAGGACATGTGCCCTTTATTTTCTAGCCTCCCAAATCCTGAAGGTATGGGACCAATAGGGAGCTGCTTTTCAGCATAAAATCACTCAGCAAACAAGGGTTTGAAGAGTTTCCAAAGCCTGAAAGGGTCCCCTGAGGCCAAGGTTTATAAAACCTGAAAGGAAAAGAAGAGAATAGGGATTAGATACAAATGGCCAAGCACTTAGCAACAAATGAACAGCAGGGTACCCTTAGTAGCTAGTCCTACAGTTGACAGCTAATCTTCTGAGCACAGAGGTTGGCTGGAAGTTGACCCTTATAACTCAGATCCTATGAAACAGGGATGGAGACTTTCTGCCTTCAACCTTAACTCGAATCCCCAATAAGACTACCTTGGGAAGCAGAATCATGGTATTAGAACCTTTGAAAAAACTCCCCTTCAGCATGGTCACTGGGTTTATGTCCCTATAAAAACTCCAATCTTCTTTTTCTGGGACTTCATTGCCTTAGAGGTAGATACGCTTTTCCTTATTAGCTGATAAGGAAGAGGTTATCTACCCATAGACTTCGCAGGACTGGCAGTGACAAACAGAAGGCAGGCCAGGGATCATAGGGAAAGTCAATTTTCAGATAGCTAGATTTTATTTGTTTCTCTATTTGTTCATGCCATGTCAGCAGTCAAGCAATCAGAACTCCTAGGTAGAAAAAGGAATTTCTCTGACCTCCATGGCTCCTGTCATCTTAGTAAGTCACTTATCCCCTCTATATTTTATTTATTTATTGAGTTGAAATATATATTATTCTCTGTACTTCTGTCATGTGATATAGATCAAATAAGATCATGGATGTATTTTACATTAGATAAATAAATATAAAGGACTAGGGATGAAAGTTCAGGTGACTTGATCTGAAGAAATGAAACCTCTCTTATGCTAAGGTAGACTCTTGGCATCTGTTATGACATTAAAAGAGAGGCTACTGGTCTCCTTATGGAATCAAAGGAGTCAAAATTGAAAGATTTCAACCTCATTTTACAGATTGGGAAACTGAGGCTCAGAGTCCTTCTCTTCTGAATCTTGCCCAAAACATTACAGCCTAGGATTTCTAACAATTAGGTTCAAAGGCAATTTATAAAACTACACTATAGTTTGGCTGAAAGATGAGGAAAAGTAAAGAGGAAAGAGACTTCAACACATGTAGAAACCCAAAATTGGAAAGCATTACATTTAAAGGTCAAATAATTACATGGAACTGAAACATGGAAGTGAGTGAGTTCCCACCCTCTGAACCGACATGGAATTCCAGTCCCCCAAATCTCAGATTCCATAAAGAAAACCTTTGTGGAACAAGGATCTGTAATCAGGTAGAAAATTCATACCTGTGGCCTCAACTGTCATCTCCAGGAAGTCTGCCTTGAGAAGAACTGTAAAAATAAAGGGAAAAAACCCAGCACAAACATTTCACTAACAATGTAGTAATTAGGACACAAAAGGCAAAGTAAAGGACAGTGACTCTTCCAGTCCATAGCTAAGGAAGACATTTACAAAATCGGGAAACAATTCTATTCAGCTATTTGAAAGCATCTAGCTCCATGTGTATGTTGTTGTTGTTATGTGCCGTTGAGTCGATTCTGACCCATAGCGACCCTGTATAGGGTTTTCATAGAGCAGTTGGTGAGCTTGAACCGCCAACCTTACAGTTCAAATAGCTTTGCAGTCTGGCACAATAACCCACAGCGCCATTCCAGGACTCCATGTGTATGTTGTTGTTGTTAAGTGCCGTTGAATCATTTCTGACCCATAGCGACCCTGTATAGGGTTTCCATAGAGCAGCTGGTGGGCTTGAACTTCCAACCTTGCAGTCAGGTGCATTAACCTATAGCGCTGCACCAGGACTCCATGTGTACAGGCTAGGCTAACTCTCTGACAGATTTCAAAGAACACAGGCACACAAACGGGAATACAACTAATTGTTGTCTTCTTTCACTGCTACATTAGGGGAACAGGTAATTCTTTCACTGCTACATTAGGGGAACACAGAGAGGCTGCTAATTATCTCCAACAGGAAGAAAGGAAAGTGCCATATGAAAGAAGAATCCTTTATGACTGAATAAGCATTATCCAACCCCTTGATATGATTAGGTCAACCCTAAATTAACTGGTGTGGCACTGATTGATAAGTACTGGATCTCAAGGTCAGTTTGAACGGCAAGGACAGTCACCTAGATGTGCTATGGTGTGTTCAAAAGGTATGTTCACCATGGAATGGCCAATCATTCAAAATCAAAAGGCAACATTTTCCTGAAGATAAAGTCAAAAAGGATGGGAAGGTGGGTGAAGTGCAAATAGTAACCACTGGGAGGAAGCAGGATAACTGTTATTGTATGAAGGGGGTTGCAATCATTGAGATGAAACAAAGTGTATGATTTGTTGAATGCATAGCTGATGATATTGTCTATAAACCTTCACTCAAATCACAATAAGATGTTTTTAAAAAATCACTGTGTCCAAATCAAAAACAAGAATGGCAGCAAGGCAAGTGGTCAGCTCCCCTCAGAGCGAAACCCCCTTCTAAGACTGAGACTCAGGGTGAATACACGATCAGGCATGTGGTCTGGCTGTGACCACATTGATCACTGTTAAGGAGAAGAGGGGGAAAAACAGCAATGAAGTTGGGAGCTGGGTCCAACCACATTCAATAGACTCCAGTGAACCCGTGTGTAGAACTGGCTGGCCAGCAGTATGGCAAGACCTGGGTACTCATGGGTCACAGAGGACTAGAGTGGAGAGTAAAGCATCCAGCTGATGTGAAGTGAGGGGGGATGCACAGGAACACCCAGACTTGCAGATAGTACCCACTTGACCTGGCTTCAATGGCTGGATGATCAGAACTCAACTAGAAGAAGAAAGAAGAGGGAAAAAAAAGAGTAACCGACTACAATTTGATGAAATTTACCTATGCTTATGGATATAATAGCTCAATAAAGGGAACAAATCTTTATTGTGAGGATCACTCTCACCCCCTCGGTACACAGGGTTGACAGGGATGGGCAAGATGGACATTGGCTGCCCAAAATGGGGAGGGGAGTTGGGCTACAAAGGCAAGAAGAGACTGGCTTACAAGCTTTCAAGAGGGAGCCTAGTTCCAGATGGGGTGGGGGAAGGTAGAATCTCCACTGAATGGTTTCTAATCTGTTGAGACGGGGTTGATGGAAGGAAATGGGGATAAGACTCTTGTGGTACAATAGTGAATAATAACTGCTATCAGGACAGACTGTCAGGGTCAGAAATGTTTTGTAACAAAAGGAGGGGAGCGGTTGTCTTTGCAGTCCAGGAACGGAGGTCACTGGGACCATCAAGTGAGAAGAGCGGAGTGCGGAACCCTACCAAGAGAAGCAGTGATGCCAGAGATCGAGGCAGAGACAATGGCATGGAGAAATGGAGCAGCAGCTGGGGACTCTGGACTCAGGGAGGGAGAGGGGCTGCGTGCTGACAGACGGGGGTGGGGGCAGGCTTGCAGGGTGTACCCTTTGGTTGTTTGATGATGCATGGTTGTAATCATTTCAATGAAATGAAATACGATAGGATGAATGTAAAGCTGGTGTTCTTCCATGTAAACTATCACATAATTCACAATAAAAACTTAAAAAACACACACACACACGCACACAAAAGATACATGACGATCCCCAAAGAATGCTGAAAGAAGACAAGGACCTTTTACCCGAGCCGGTACCCTGAATTCAGACATCTAGCCTCCTAAACTGTAAGAGAGTAAATTTATGCTTCTTAAAGCCCCCCAAAAAAAGTCTGTGGGGGATGATAGAGTCCCCAAGGAATAGTTTTCATCTTGTCTAGATGGGTGTGGTGAAAAAAAGATGGGAATAAGATTCTTATAATTCAATAGTGAGTAATTGTTAGCATGACTAATTGCAACTGGTACAATTGTAAAGATAGAATTTTTGTAACAAAAACGGGGGAGTAGTTAATCTTACAAGGAGCTCTGGTAGCGTAGTGGTTACGAATCGGGCTGCGAACCTTAAGGTCAGCAGTTCGAAACTACCAGCCGCTCTGCGGGAGAAAGATAAGGCTTTCTACTCCCGTAAAGATTTACACCCTTGGAAACCCTGTACAGGGTCGCTATGGGTCGGAACTGACTCGACGGCACTTAACAACAACAAGTTAATCTTACAGTTCAGAAACAGAGGACCCCAAGACCATGGGGGAAGAAAAGCACAAGCAGAATGTGGGACATTATCCAGAGAAGCAGAGACACCAGAGATGGAAGCAGAGATGGGGACATGGAGAGAGGGAGCAGCTAAGGACTCTAGATTCATGGAAAGAGAGGGACTGAGAGTTGGTGGCCAAGAGGCAGACTTGCAGAATGTGCCCTATGGAGTTGTAAATTATTATATATGCTTGAGCACTTTTTTTTTTTTTTTTTTTTTTTTAAAAAGCTAAAATGAATAAAGAGAAATTGGTACATGATGGGTATTATAATCCTTGTAATGAAGCAAAGTATATGATTTCTTGAATGTAAAACTGATGATCTACCCTGTAAAGTTTCACTCAATTTACAATAAAAACTTAGAAAAAAAAAAAATCACTGTGTCCAAAACTGAACATTCCTATGTTTGTCTAAAACCAACATTCCTACCAAATCTGCTCATCCATTATTAATGATTCAAACATCTACTTAACTGCCCAAGTTAGACTCTCAATCCTTTCTCCAATTTCCCAGATTTTAAAAGTTAGCAAAGTTTTACTGAGTCTGCCTCAACTCTGTCCCTCCTATTTTGTTCCCATGTATCAGAACAGTGCCATAGATCAGACCCTCATCAACTCTTGTCAGGATGATTGTTGTTGTTGTTAAGTGCTGTTGGTTCCAACCCATAGTAACCCTGTATAGGGTTTCTGAGGAGCAGCTGGGGAATTTGAACCACTGACCTTGCAGTTCAAATGGCTTTGCAGTCCAGAGCATTAACCCACAGTGCCACACCAGGACTCCTGTCAGCATGATTAGCCTCCTAAAAGTCACCAATCTATCTTCCCGAGTACTACTAAAAGTATCATTTTACAACTCAGTTAACTGTGACTATGTGTTTCATGTTTAAAAGATTTCCAAAAGTGCCCATAGTCTATACTATAAAGATTGCATGTCTTACTGTATCAGACA